GTTTTAGCTTAGAGAGTGAGAAACGATGGCCTGAGATAAGACTGAGAAGTTGCCAGGGACTAGATTGCATTAGGCCTGGTAGGCTGTGTTGAGGATTCTTTCATCCTAAACCTGATGGCCACTGGAATTAAGGGAAGGACCCAGTCAGGGTTATGTTTCAGGGAGACCCCTCTGTCTAGAGAAGAGCTGTTATGTGCAAGGCAGCAAGTGTGATGTGGAGAGCTCAGGTACAAAACTTTTGCTAAAGTTCATGTAGTAAATGATGGTGATACAAACAGGAGTAGTAGTAGAGGTAATGAAAGGAAACAGATGAATTTTTAAAATACTTACCAAGAAAATTTGGCCATACAGACAAATGGTGAAGCATGGGAGTGGATGAGTGAGGAATCTTGAAAAATGGAACCCTAATTTCTGACATGCAAAATAAAACTATTAGGGAGCCATTTACTGAGATAAGAAAAGATGAATAAAGAGAAAGAGCTTGTTTTGGGAGAAGAGATCATGAGCTTACTCTTAGATATGTTCTTGAGATGTCTATGAAGAGTGTTAAAGGAGCAGGTGAGTAGGGGGAGTTGAAGAAGTAAATTTGGTACCAAGAATTGCAGTTTGATCTTAAGATATAAATTTTTTATTGTCACCATATAAGTGGCATTTTAAGCCATGTGAGTGGTTAAGCTCCAGCAGAGAGATATGGTAGAGTGAGAAAAGAGAAATATTTTGACTAAGACCTAATGCTGGGGACAGGCCCTAAGCCTGTCATAAACAGGCCTTAAAGAAACTGGCCATAAACAAAATATCTATAGCACTGTAACATACTCATGATGACAGTGACACTCATTTCTGGAGGTTGTTGGTTTGCTGGAGTGAGGGAAAGAAATACCTGACCCATCCAGGGCAGAAGACCACTTAAAGGCATTCTGGAACCACAAACAATAGCATGAGCGACCCGTGACCTAATGACGTGTTTCAGTTTCAGTAGATACATGCGTCAGAGCCTGTTTCTTGCCACTAGCAAAGACTGCTTTGATCCCTGTGAAGAATGCTTTTAGTTAATCTATAAACTGCAGTAATGATGATTATCACTTGCTTGCTGTCAATAAATATGTCAGTCAAACTCTGTTCAATGTTCTCAGCTGGGAATGCTGAAGCCCCTTGATGTCTCACCTTTTGCACTCTATCTTTGTGTCTGTTTCTTAATTCCTTCAGTGCTGCCTGGGTTGGGGTCTCTATGACCAAAGCTGATCTTGGCAAGTGGCGTCCATATATGGAGCTCGAACCGGGGATGAAGGGTCACCAGAGAAATGATTTGAGAATGGGGAACTAAGTTGGAGGACACCTGAGTATTCTTAAATCTATCCCCATGGTGAGTAAGAAGGGAAACTTGGAAGCATCAGGGTAACAAATGGGACAAGGGTCAAGCAGGCATGAGGCTTATTTGAGTCTGCTTTAGCAATGCCTCAGAAAAGGGGGAGTTAAAGTTAGTACTAGCTCCTTTCTCTGTCAGTTGTTTTCAAAGAATCTATGCTTTCTTACTCTGTTCTTCTGCTGTTTTCTCTTGTCTTTCATTGCTTTATAAAGAAGGAGCTGGGGATATTCCAATCTTAGTATGGTCAGTTTGGGCAATAGTGTGTTCAGCATTAGAGCCATTTCAAACTAATAATGAGGAGGAGGAATCAGAGGAGGAAGGAGAGTATAACAAAGTAACAGAAGAGGTGACAGAGCAGGTTTGCTTGCCAGCAAAAGAGGGAAGGTATGTCCCTGCCTCTCTGCACCCCCTCACTCTTCTAAAGAAAATGAGTGGCTTGGCCCTCTGGATCTTTCTTTTCCAAAGGACAATGGGCAAAAAGTAGTTGCCCCACTGACTGTTCAACCAGTGCCTCAAGTGACCATTTTCAGTTCTATTCAGGCAGGAATTCAGCAAGCCAGACAAGAGGGCGATATGAATGCTTGTCAGCCATATTATGGCTAGGTTTGATCCTTTTCCTTTTAAATTACTTAAACAATTTAAACAAGTTATCAATCAATATGAACCAGGTTCTCCTTTTGTAATGGCACTGTTAAAGAATGTTGCTGTCTCCAGTTGAATGATTCCTGCTAACTGAGATCCTCTTACTCTAGCTTGTCTGACTTCTGCTCAGTTCTTACAGTTTAAAACTTGATGGGCAGATGAAGCTTCCATTCAGGCTCATTACAATGCCCAGGCCCAACCTCAAATTAATATAACTGCAGACCAACTTTGGGGTTTGGCAGCTGAGCTGGTTTAGGCGAACAAGCAGTCATGCAGGATGATGCCACAGAGCAGTTTAGAGGAGTGTGCATTAGAGCTTGGGAAAAAAAAAATCACTTCAGGAGGAGAACAATACCCTTCTTTTAGTGCAATCAAGAAGGAACCAAAAGAACCTTATGCAGATTTTATAGCCAGATTACAGGAGTCTCTAAAAAAGGTAATTGCAAATTCAGCTGCTCAGGTATAGTGTTGTGGTTATTAGCTTTTAACAATGCCAATCCTGAGTGCCAGCTGCTTTGTGACCCATTAGAGGAAAAGCACATTTGGTTAACTATATTAAAGCTTATGATAGTATCAGAGGTAATCTGCATAAGGCTACTTTTCTGACCCAAGCAATGGCAGAACTGAAAGCGAGTAAAGGAAATATTCCATTTCCTGGAACTTGTTTTAACTGTGGAAAGCATGATCATACTAAAAAAGAATACAGAAAAAATAAACAAGTCAGGTCTCCAGTTAGGAAAAAAAAAGAAAATTCCGGAGCCTGAAATATGTCCAAAATGTGAAAAAGGAAAACATTGGGCTAGTCAGTGTCACTCTAAGTTTGATAAAGATTTTGGGAAACAGCATGAGGGGATCGTCCTGGGCCCTGTTCCAAACCAGGACATTTCTGACTCAGGCCACTCCCTCATCCCTGTACAGTGTCTGTCCCCTGCCACAGCTGGTAGTGCTACAGTAGATTTATGCTGCACAAAAGCTGTGAGCCTTCTGTTGGGGAACCCTCACAAAAAGTGCCAACAGAAATCTGTGGACCCTTGCTGGCGAGATTGGTAGAATTACTTCTAGGTAGGTCTAGTTTAAATTTAAAAGGAGTGCAAGTACATACAGGAATCATTATTCAGATTACAATGGGGAAATTTAAATTGGTATATCTACTTCTGTCCCCTGGAAAGCAGAGCCCCGAGAGCATATAGCACAGCTCCTGATTGTGTGGTATGTGGAAATGGGGAAAAGTGAAACTAAACAAATAGGAGGATTTGGAAGCACAAATAAACAAGGCAAAGCAGCTTACTGGGTAAATCAAATTACTGATAAATGTCCTACTTGTGAAATAACTATTCAGGGAAAGAAATTTAAAGGATTAGTAAATACAGGAGCAGACATTCCAATCATTTCTCTGCAGCACTGGCCATCTGCGTGGCCAATTCAACCCACTCAATTTAACATAGTTGGAGTTGGCAAAGCCCCTAAAGTATATCAAATTATACTTTGCGTTGTAAAAGACCCAATGGACAACCTGGGACTATTCAATCAATTGTAGCTTCTGTACCTACAAATTTATGGGGAAGAGATTTATTACAGCAGTGCGGAGCACAAGTGTTAATTCCAGAACAACTATATAGCCCTCAAAGTCAGCATGTGATGCAAGAGATGGGGTGTGTGGCTGGCATGGGAGTAGGAAAAAATTTACAAGGGTTAAAGGAACCACTTAAAGTGGAAAAACATAATTTTGTCAGGGTCTAGGATATTATTTTTGATGGTGGCCATTGCTAAGCCTCCAAAATGTATACCTCTAAAATGGTTAACAAATAGGGCAATTTGGATAGAACAATGGCTGCTGAGTACAGAGAAACTGGAGGCTTTAGAGGACTTAGTTGCTGAATAATTAGAAAAGGGACACGCAGCTCCAACATTTTCCTCTGGAATTCTCCAGTTTTTGTTATTAAGAAAAAATCAGGTAAATGGAGAATGTTGACAAATCTTAGAGCCATTAATTCAGTTATACAACCTATGGGGACATGACAGCCAGGATTGCCTTCTCCTGCTATTATTTCAAAAAATGGGCCACTAATTGTGATTGATTTGAAGGACTGTTTCTTTACAATTCCTTTGTCAGAAAAGGCGTTTGAGAGATTTGCATTTGCTATTCCTTCTATAAATAATAAAAAAACATGCTAAAAGATATCACTGGAGAGTGTTGCCACAAGGAATGTTAAACAGTCCCACAGTTTGTCAAACTTGCGTGGGCCAAGTTATTGAGCCCATCAAAAAGGAATTTTCACAGTGTTACATTATTCATTATATGGATGATATTCTTTGTGCTGCTCCCACTCAGGAAATACTACTCCAATGTTATGATCATTTGCAAAATTCAATGTGTCATGCTGGTTTATTTATAGCTCCTAACAAAATTCAGACTAGCACTCCTTACTCGTACTTAGGAACCTTAGTGATTAACACTACCATTGTGCCACAAAAAGTAACCATACACAGGCATTGATTAAAAACATTAAATGACTTTCAAAAATTACTAAGGGACATTAATTGGATACGACCTGCTCTAGGCATTCCTACCTATGCCGTGAGTAATCTATTTTCTATCCTTAGAGGAGATCCTAGTCTCTCTAGCCCTCGACAATTAACAAAGGAGGCTGAGGCAGAGTCACAGCTCTTTAAGAAGTAAGTGCACAAGGCTCAAATAAATAGAATAGATCCAGAAAAAACTTTAGACTTATTAATTTTTCCAACTCAGCACTCACCTACTGATGTTATTGTTCAAGAGCAAGACTTGGTGCAATGGCTTTTTCTTCCTCATACAAATTCAAGGACTGATTCCTTATTTGGATCAAACTGCCACTCTGATAGGAATGGGAGAACTCAAATTGTTAAATTACATGGATATGACCCTGGAAAAATTATTGTCCCTCTTACAAATACACAAATATAACAGGCCTTTATGAATAGTCTTACTTGGCAAATCCATTTAGCTGATTTCATGGGTGTTCTTGATAATCACTTTCAAAAAACAAAATTATTTCAATTTTTAAAATTAACTAATTGGATTCTCCCTACAACAATTAAATCTAAACCAGTTGAAGGTGCTGAAAATGTTTTCACAGACGGATCAAGCAATGGTAAAGCTTGTTATTCTGGGTCAAAAAGTAAAGTTTTTCGGAAACCGTATACTTCAGCCCAAAAAGCAAAGCTTGCAGCTGTAATTGAAGTCTTAACTGCTTTTGAGATGCCTGTTAATGTAACTTCGGATTCTTCATACATGGTTCATTCCACACAATCAATTGAAAATGCTCAGCTTCGATTTAATACAGATGAACAATTGATGAGTTTATTTACCCAGTTACAAATTGCAATTAGAAATAGAACGCACCCTTTTTACATCTCATATTAGGCTTCACACACCTCTTCTAGGACCTTTAACTGCAGGGAATCAAATGGCTGATTGCTTGGTTGTGACAGCATTGTTAAATGCTAAACATTTCACACTTTGACCCATGTAAATGCCTCTGGTCTTAAAGGAAGTTATAATATTACTTGGAGAAAGGCTAAAGCCATTATTCAACAATGTCCAACCTGTCAAATAATTCATACTCTGTCCTTTACAGGGAGTGTTAACCCTTGTGGATTAAAAGCAAACTGTCTTTGGCAAATGGATGTTACCCATGTTCCTTCTTTTAGAAAATTAGCATATGTACACATTTTTGTAAATGCTTTTTCTCATTTTGTTTGGGCAACCTGTCAAACTGGTAAACCATCAGCCTGTGTCAAGCAATATCTAATACAGTGTTTTGCTGTTTGGGAAATTCCCTCTTCCACAAAAACTGATAATGCCCTAAAATATGTTAGTCATTCTTTAGCAGCATTTTTAAAAAAATGGAACATTACTCATACTACAAGTATCCCATGTAATTCTTAGGGACAGGCTATTGTAGAACAAATACATCTTTCCCTTAAACAGCATTTGCAAAAATCAAAGGGGAAACAGTGAATATAGAACCCCACAAATGCAACTTAACTTAGCATTACTAACTTTAAATTTTTTAGGTTTGCCAAGATGAGGACAAATAACAGCACTGAACAACACCTGAATAAACAATCCACAGAAGAGAACTTAGGAAAATTAATCTGGTGGTGAGACCCATTAACAAAAGGTTGGGAAAAAGACAATGTAATAACATGGGGGAAAGGATTTGCTGTGTTTTTCCAGGTCCAAATCAACAACTGGTGTGGGTACCATCCAGACATTTAAAGCCTTATCATGAGCAGTGGTTATCACCATTACAGTGAGTACTCCTGAAGTTGGGGCAAAAGTAAAAGAAAATTTCACATACTGGGCATATATTTCTTTCCCTCCTTTATTTACATATGATTTCTGGTCTTAGCATTTTTTGTAATTATTGAGGAAATAAAACAACTATATTTTGCTCCTCAAAATCTAAATGCAGGCAAAATAAAGAGTGGTCCTCTAAGTTAAAAATATTAATTTGGGAAGATTGTGCTTTGGCAGAGGTTGAGGTGCTCCACAATAATTCCCATGAAATTGTAATTAATTGGTCCCCTAAGGGAATATTTAGCATTAATTGCACCAGTTAGCCCTCTTGTTGTGACACAGAATTACTTAAACACAAAAAGTAATAAGAGTTTTGAGTCAATACGCGCTGAAACAAATGTCCCTATTATTTGGAGAAATAGAGGCATGGTAGGATGACGACCAAAAATGATTTGGCCAAAGTTGGAAAATGAACAAAAAGAACGTTGGAAATCATGTATGGCCCTGAAACCAATAAAGGTCTGGGAAGGAAATTATATAGGATCCTGCTACAATCATTAGTATTCATTAGAATTTGTAAAAGATAAAAACTCTTTGGATTCAGAGCTGTGTCAGCTCTCCTTATCTTTTAGTAATGGGAAGGTTACAGATCAATTTTCTTTTCCCAGGTAACATGTCACAATTGTAAATTGTTTTCTTGAATTAATGCCTTATGTCTGACTCTTACTGGTAAGAGTCAAATTACTGGTAAGAGCCCAAGAGGGAATATGGCTACCAGTAAATCTATCTTGTCCCTGGGAAACATCCCCATCAGTACATATTCTTACTGAAATTTTACAAAAGGTTTGAAAATGTACCAGAAAATTCACTGCAACTTTAATTTTAATCATTGTGGGTCTGATTAGTTATGGCTACAGCCACTGTAGCAGGAGTGGTTCTGCATTTGTCAGAAAGACAGAAAAGTTTGTTAATAATTGACAGAAAAACAATACCTTGATGTGGAATTTCTCAAACTAAAATAGATCAGAACATAGCTAATCAGATTAATGATGTCTGACAAACTGTCGTATGGTTGGGAGATCGCATAAGGAGTTTAGAATATAGAATGCAACTGAAATGTGATTGGAATACTTCTGATTATCTGTGTTGCTCCCCACCTTTATAATGAATCAGAACATAAATGGAAAAAAGTTAAAAGACATTTAAAGTGTCATACTGGAAATTTATCTTTGAATACTGTAAAACTGAAAGAGCAGGTACTTCAAGCCTCTCAGGCACACCATTAATGCCAGAAACTGAAGTACTTGAAGGAGCCAATAATGGATTAGCAGCCATAAATCCTTTCAAGTGGATAAAAACACTGGAAGGTTTTGTGATTTCAATGATGACTGTGCTTTTAATCTGTGTTGTTTGTCTTTGTATAGCCTGCAGATGTGGATCCCGAATCCTGCAAGAAGTAGCCCACTTTGGCAAAGCTGCCCTTGCCTTTACTGCTTTGCAAAATCAAAAAGGAGGACATACTGGGAAAAGGCTCGAAACCTGTCATAAACAGGCCTTAAAGAAACTGGCCATAGACAAAATATCTATAGCACTGTAACATACTCGTGATGGCAGTGATGCACATTGCTGAGGTTGTTGGTTTACTGGAGTATGGGAAAGAAATACCTGTCCCATCCAGGGCAGAAGACCACTTAAAGGCATTCTGGAACCACATACAAACAATAGCATTAGTGACTGGTGCCCTAACTACCTGTTCCAGATGTAGGAGATATACGTGTCAGAGCCTGTATTTACTAGTGTTTCTTGCCACTAATAAAGAATGCTTTGTTCCCTGAGAAGAATGTTTTTAGTTAATCTATAAACTGCTGTAATGATGATTATCACTTGCTTGCTGTCAATAAATATGTGGGTCAAACTCTGATCAAGGGTCTCAGCTGGGAATGCTGAAGCCCCCTGATGTCCCACCTTTGCACTCTATCTTTGTGTCTGTTTCTTAATTCCTTCACTGCCGCCTGAGTTGGGGTCTCTATGACCGAGCTGGTCTTGGTAACCTAAAAACTACAAAATTTAAAGTTCTTTTAAAAAAGTAAAGGAGATTAAGAAGTGACCAGAGATATGTTCTTTATTATTATTATTATTATTATTTTATATTTTACTTTAAGTTCTGGGATACATGTACAAAATGTGCAGGTTTGTAACATAGGTATACATGTGCCATGGTGGTTTACTGCTCCTATCAACCCATTATCTAGATTTTAAGCCCTGCATGCATTAGGTGTTTGTCCTAATGTTCTCCCTCCCTTTGCCTCTCACCCCTCAACAGGCCCCAGTGTATGATGTTCCCCTCCCTGTGTCCATGGGATTCATTGTTAAACTCCCATTTATAAGTGAGAACATGTGGTGTTTGGTTTTCTGTGTCTGTGTTAGTTTGCTGAGAATGACGGTTTCCAGCTTCATCGATGTTCCTGTAAAGGACATGAACTCATTCTTTTTTATGGCTGCCAAATATGTGTTCTTAAGAAAATTGAGGAAGAAAGTATCTGGACAAAGAGAAAGTGGCCATCTGCATTATAACTAATAAAATAATTGAAAGCGTGAAACAACAGTTAAGACATTAAAAAGACTAAAAAAGAAATGTTGCATAAAATAACGTAAAATAGAAGAAAGTTATTAAGTTTTACCCTTTTAAAACTTCACTTATTTAGATAAAAGTCTTTTTTTCCTGACTTGATTTTGGCTCCATTCCCACTACCTTTTGTCTGGATGTCCTTAGACTGGCAACATTTAGACTACTGACAACATGTACCACACTCTAGAGTTAATCTTATTTTTTTTTCTTTTTTTGAGACAGAGTCTCACCCAGGCTGGAGTGAAGGGGCATGATCATGGCTTACTGCAGTCTTGACCACCTGGGCTCAAGCCAACCTCCTGCCTCAGCCTCCTGAGTAGGTGAGACTACAGGTATATGCCCCCACACCCAGCTAATTCTTGTATTTTTCTGTAGACACAGGGTTTTGTCATATTGCCAGGCTGGTCTCAAACTCCTGGATCCAAGTGATCCACCTGTGTTGGCCTTCTACCATGTTCCACCTAGAGTTGATCTTTCAGCTTTAACATTTAAATTTGAAATCATGTCATAAATTGCTGATCTCATACTGAATACATTTTTTACTTATATGTTAGAGAAATAATACATATAATTATCTCCTATGATGAAAAACAAAAGCCTGCTCACTGAAGAAAGTATCAGATGATGATGATGATGATGATTTGAGACAGAGTTTTGCTCTGTCACCAGGCTGGAGTGCAGTGGCGGCATCTTGGCTCACTGCAACCTCTGCCTCCTGGGTTCAAGCAATTCTGCCTCAGGCTCCCGAGTAGCAGGGACTACAGGTGCATGCCACCATGTCCAGCTAATTTTTGTATTTTTTAAAATAGAGACAGGGTTTCACCATGTTGGCCAGGATGGTCTTGATCTTCTGACCTCATGATCCACCCGCCTCAGCCTCCCAAAGTTCTGGTATTACAGGCGTGAGCCACCACACCTGGGAAAATCAGATTATTTTCTAGTGGTAAATATCTTCTTGTGATAAATAATATACAACCAGCCAATAAATAAGGTACTTGAGAACTATCTGTTAGCTACTAAAAGGTACAGATAAAAGTAAATATAGAAAATGATGGTTCACAATCATATTGTGTGAAGTAAGAGTACATGCTTTTCCCTTAGGCCTGCAACACCTTACTGACAGTGAATTTTTTGAGTTATTTCAATTCTCAATTAGCATATCATCCTGAATGGTACTCCCTACAAAGACATTTTCAAACAGAACTTCAAAAGTGTGGGAATTATTTGGACATGGTGACTCATGCCTGAATCTCAGCAATCTGGGAGGCTAAGGCAAGAGAATCACTTGAGCTCAGGAGTTCAAGACCAGCCTGGGCAAAATAGCAAAAACCCATCTCTACAAAAAATTACAAAAATTAGCTGGGTGTGGTGGTGTGCACCTGTAGTCCAAACTACTCAGGAGGCTGAGGCAGGAAGATCTCTTGAACCTGAGAAATTGAGGCTGCTGTAAGCCATGATTGTGCTACTGCATTCCAGCCTGGGCAACAGGTGTGAGACCCTGTCTCAAGAAAAAAACAGGTGGGAATTATTTATTGTGCATTTTCAAGTAACTGAAAGATTATAAATGGATTGTTTGTAACATAAAGAAAGGATAAATGCTTGCTGTGATGGATATCCCCTTTACCCTGTGGTGATTATTACGCATTATATGCTTGTATTTAACTATCACTTATACCCCATAATTATATACTCCTATTATGTACACACAAAATTTAAAAATTAAACAAACGTAAAGTGACTGTGGTCACATCACTCCAATCTCTGTCTTCACACTGCCTGCTCTTCTTTTGAAAATCTATTTATTGTCTCTTTACCTCTCCTTTATAAACACACTTGTGATTGGATTTAGAGCCCACAGAACAATCAAGAGTAATCTCCTTGAGTTAATGTTTGTATATAGTAAAAGGTAAGGATCCAGCTTGAATCTTTTGCATGTGGCTAGCCAGCTAACCCACGACCATTTATTGAATAGGAAGTCCTTTCTCCATTGCTTGTTTTTGTCAAAGCTACAATGAGATACCATCTCACACCAGTCAGAATGGCCATTTTTTAAAAAAGTCTAAAGACAACAGATGCTGGCATAAATGTGGAGAAAAAGGATATCTAATACACTGCTGGTGGGAATATAAATTAGCTCTGCCACTGTGGAAAACAATGTGGAGATTTCACAAAGAACTTAAGCAGAGCTGCCATTTGACCCAGCAATCTCACTACTGGTTATATACCCAAAGGAAATAGATCATTACACCAAAAAGACACACAAAAACTATTCACAATAACAAAGACATGGAACCAACCTAGGTACCCATCAATGGTGGATTGGATAAAGAAAATGTAATACATATATAGCATGGAATATTATGCAGTCACAAAAAAGAATGAAATCATGTCATTTGAAGCAATATTGATGGAGCTGGAGGCTGTAATCCTGAGTGAATTAACGCAGAAACAGAAAACCAAATACCTCATGTTCTCACTTACAAGTAGAAGCTAAACACCGAGCACACACAGGCACAAATGTGGGAACATTAGACACTGTGGACTACTCGAGGGGGCAGGATGGAGGTGGGTTGAAAAACGACCTATTGGGTAACATAATCACTACATGGGCTCAATATACTCATGTAACAAGCCTGCACATGTACTCTTGTATCTAAAGTTTAAAAAGTTATCCTTATGTTAAAATTCTTAATCAGATTTTCAAAGACCAGCCTTTTTATATTTCTTATAACACAGGTTCTAGAGATTAAGACCTGGTGTCTATAGGTGGCCACTTTATTTTTAGCATATGACACCTTCCATATGAATCCGTAATACACCCCATGAGATGGAGGCATAGTAGCGTACAATCTGATTTTAGAGAGCAGAGGGACAATGATTTGGAAGTGGCACTGAGGAGTGAGCAGTACACGAACTCCACCTATAGGGACAGCAGTAAAAGGAGTGGTAGGTAAACAACAGGCACCACATAAGAGGATGGCAATGAAGTCTGCATACTAGAGGAAAGGCAGGTTCCAGTTTAAGCAAGAATATGAAGAGGGTGTTTGGAGACAAGATTGAAGTCATAAAGAAGTTATAGAAAGCATACTGTGACTTCCAGAGAATGCCATATAGTAGGGTTTAGAGAGCCAGTGAAAGGAGTGAGAAGGACCTATATTAAAGAATGGGACTACCATGAATTGGGAGTTTAGAGGTTCCTGAGGTGAATGATATGAACAGAGAAAAAGGCAAAGTGGGATTCATCCTGAAGGCCTCCAAGGCAAGTTGTGGTGAGGGGTCTATAAAGTAGAATGTCAGGGAGAAGGGTGGGAGGCTTCCTAGGCATATAGGAAAAAAAGGAGGAAAATATTCAGATAAACTCAGTCAAATCCTTACTAACACTATATGGGAAAGAATAAGTTCCTTTGCAATTGTAAGTACTCATATATAACCTATGAATTTAGTAGTTTTGTTTTATTTAATTTGTAAAATTAATGATACTCTATACAATGTAGTTCTATATTTAAAAATAAATATGAAGGCAGTACTATATAATTTCCATTGTGTGCCATGAAAAATTGACTTTTTCCATAAGAAAATATATAGGTAGGACTTTAGATGATGCTACTAATGTGGAAATCAGAGCTTAAACCAACAAAAACCTGCTGCCTCAAGCGAGGTAATTTTGAGAGCATAATTAGGATCTCTATTTTAAAAATTATTTTAAGTGAACCAATATAAGCGTAAAGTAATAATTGCTTTCAATTTTTAGATTTGCCCAGTCATGCTTTTAGGAATTTGTTGTGGCTTTTTTCTCCTCAAAATTGATATTAGTGGGAAATGGTTTTCTTTTTTCTTTTTTTTTTCTTGAGATGGAGTTTTGCTCTTGTCACCCAGGCTGGAGTGCAACGGCGTGGTCTTGGCTCACTGCAACTTCCCCCTCCAGGGTTCAAGTGATTCTCCTGCCTCAGCCTCCCAAGTAGCT